AAAAAAAAAAAAAAAAAATTCCACTCCATTCCAGGCACAATGGGCCATGCCTGTAATCCCAGCATTTTGGAAGGCTGAGGCACATATGTTACATGTTTCACCAGCCTGGGAAACACAGCAGGACCCCCCCCATCTCTCTCTCTCTCTCTCTCTCTTTTTGAGACAGAGTCTCACTCTGTCACCCAGGCTGGAGTGCAATATTGTGACCTCAACTCACTGCAACCTCTGCCTCCTGGGTTCAAGTGATTCTCCAGTCTCTGCCTCCTGACTAGCTGGAATTACAAGTGTGTGTTCTACCACGTCTGACTAATTTTTGTATTTTTAGTACAGACAGGGTTTCACCATGTTGGTCAGGCTGGTCTCAAGCTCCTGATCTCAAGTGATCCGCCCGCCTCGTCTTCCCAAAGTGCTGGGATTACAGGTGTAAGTCATTGCTCCTGGCTAACAAGACCCCTTCTCTACAAAAAGTTTAAAAATCAGTGAGTCTGGGCGCGGTGGTTCACGCCTGCAATCCCAGCACTTTGGAAGGCCAAGCTGGGTGGATCACCTGAGGTCAGGTGTTCAAGACCAGCTTGGCCAACATGGTGAAACCCTGTCTCTACTAAAAATACAAAAAATTAGCCAGGCATGATGGTGCACGCCTGTAATACCAGCTACTTGGGAGGCTGAGGCAGGAAAATTGCTTGAATCCAAGAAGTGGAGGTTGCAGTGAGCTGAGATCACTCACACCACCGCACTCCAGCCTGGGTGACAGAGCGAGTCTCTGTCTCAAAAAAAAACAAAACAAAAACAAAGTACTACCAACTCCCTTTTTACACAAAAGTTAAACAAATGCAGATTTTGAAACTCTGTGAATGCAATGCATCTATGATTCTACAATTATGAGCTTTGGAGATTGTGGAATTCTAAGAGTCTAAAACGGATCTGCCAAGATTCTAGGTTTTCAAGAGTCTAAAAATAGTAAATATGAATATCTGTTATCTTCCAGTGCTTTAGAACAGCCGTTGGCAAATGTTTTCTGTAAAGGAACAGACAGTAAATGTGTTTGGCTTGATACAAACACTTGACTCTGCCGTTGCGGTGCAAAGCAGCCACAGATGACAGGCACATCAATGGGGTTGACTCTGTGCCAATTAAACTTTATTTACTGGCACTGATATGTAACTGTCATATCATTTTCACATGTCGTGAAATACTATTTTTCTTTTGATTTTTTTCTAACCCTTTGAAAATATAAAAACCAGGCCAGGCACAGTGGCTCAAACCTGTAATCCCAGCACTTTGGGAGGCCGAGGCGGGTGGATCACAAGGTCAGGAGTTCAAGACCAGCCTGGCCAACATGGTGGAACCCCATCTCTACTAAAGATACAAAAAATTAGCTGGGTGTGGTGGCTCACACCTGTAATTCCAGTTACTCAGGAGGGTGAGGCAGGAGAATTGCCTGAACCCAGGAGGGTTGCAGTGAGCCGAGATTGCGCCATTGCACTCCAGCCTGGGCAACAGGGCAAGACTCTGACTCAATGTATATATATTTATACACACACACGCACATATAAACCAGTGACACTGCATCTGTCTCTTTCTTTTCTTTTCTTTTTTTTGAGATGGAGTTTTGCTCTGTTGCCCAGGCTGGAGTGCGGTGGCACAATCATGGCTTACTGCAGCCTTGACCTCCCATGCTCAAGTGATCCTCCCACCTCGCCTCTGGAGTAGCTAGGACTACCAGCATGTGCCACCACGCCTGGACAGTTTCGTTTTGTTTTGTTTGTTGGTAGAGATGGTTCTCCCTATTTGCCCAGGCTGGTCTCAAACTCCTGGAGGATCCTGCCTCCAGCTGCCCTCCCGCCTCAGCCTCCAAAAGTGCTGGGATTATAGGCATGAGTCACTGTGGCTCAAACATTTTTTAAAAATTAGCCAAAGCACAGAGCCGTAACCCTGTTGTCCCAGCTATTCTGTGGGGGCTGAGGCAGGAGGTTCACTTGAGCCCAAGTGTTTGAGACTCGTAGGAGCTCTGATTACGCCATTGCACTTGGGTGACAGAGCGAGACCCTGTCTCTTAAAAATAAACAAGGAAGCACATGTGCACACGAATGTTCATTGCAGCACTGTTTACAATAGCAAAGACCTGGAACCAACCCAAATGCCCATCGACGATAGACTGGATAGGGAAAATGTGGCACATATACACCATGGAATATTATGCAGCCATCAAAAACGATGAGTTTGGGTCCTTTGTAGGGACATGGATGAACCTGGAAACCATCATTCTCAGCAAACTGACAGAAGAGCAGAAGATCAAACACCGCATGTTCTCACTCATAGGTGGGTGTTGAACAATGAGAACACATGGACACAGGGAGGGGAGCACTACACACTGGGGCCAGTTGGGGGGAAATAGAGGAGGGATGGTGGGGGATGGGGAGCTGGGGAGAGATAGCATGGGGAGAAATGCCAGATGTAGGTGATGGGGAGGAAGGCAGCAAATCACACTGCCACATGTGTACCTATGCAACAATTTTGCATGTTTTCACATGTACCCCCAAACCTAAAATGCAATAAAATAAATAAATGGGAAAAAAAAATAAACAAGGAAGCATCCTATTTTGTTCCTGTTTTTTTCAGACGGAGTCTCACCCTGTCGCCCAGGCTGCAGTGCAGTGGCGTGATCTCAGCTTATTGCAACCTCCGCCTCACAGGTTCAAATGATTCTCCTGCCTCAGCTTTCTGAGTAGCTGGGACTATAGGCACACGCCACCACACCCAGCTAATTTTTGTATTTTTCGAAGAGACAGGGTTTCGCCGTATTGGCCAGGCTGCTCTCGATCTCCTGACCTCATGATCCACCCGCCTCAGCCTCCTAAAGTGCTGGGATTACAGGCGTGAGCCACCGCGCCAGGTCCTATTTTGTTCTTAAAGTGAGAGTTTTATTAACTTAATTGTGGACATCATGGATCGTCTAACATCATCACAATCCCTGGAGCAAGATTCTAATATAGCATTATTTATTGGTTTGGATAAACCCAGCCTTGCTACACTGTAGGGTAAAATCTCTCTCAAGTCATTATTCTGGACTTAGGGAGCTAGTTTTGAAACTCTGATTTATTCTAGAACTTAGGCTTGTGCCAGTTTTACAAATAAATTCTGTTCTAAGTTCAAAAATAAATAAATAAATAAACAAGGGAAAAAAAAACCCTTCTTAGCTGTACAAACACTGGTGGTGGGTGGGCTGGATTTGGCCCTTGGGCCGCAGTGTGCTAACTCCTGGTCTGGAATTTTCAAGTCTGAAATTCAACAATGCGTATAAGACTCTGGGCTGAACGGAATTCTCAGAGGCTCACATCTGCAGGTTCCAAGGTCCCAGATTTGGGGTCCTGGGAGCTGCTGGTGTCCCACACCCACCCACCCCCTAGGTGGCGCCCACGACACACACCTTCTTGTGGGTCTTGAGCTGTTCCTCGCCGTAGCGGAGAACGTCCTTGATGAGATCTTGCAACTTCCGTGTCAGCTCCAGGTGGCACAGCGCCAGCTTGTCCGAGGAGACGCGGAAGACCTCCCAGAGCGGGGCGAAGGTCCTGGGGGCAGGCAAGGTCACACCCAGGGCTCATGAGGCTCACCCACCGCAGGAGAGCGCTGGCACAGGCTCTCCTGTGCACTGAGCCCTGTTAAACATTAATGTGTACTCATTCATTTCATTTCCATTACAACCGTAAGAGGCGGGCCTGCGACAGATGGGGAAACTGAGGCATAGGGAGCGCTTTAGCTCGTCCCAAGGCCCTCAGCAAATGAACATCAGAGCAGGAATTTAAAGCCAGGCCCTGGTAATTCCAGGACTTAGGGAGGCCAAGGCGAGTGGATCACTTGAGGTCAGGAGTTCACTACCAGCCTGAGCAATACGGTGAAATCCCCATCTCTACTTAAAATACAAAAATGTGGCCGGGTGTGGTGGCTCACACCTGTAATACCAGCACTTTGGGAAGCAGAGGAGGGCCGATCATGAGGTCAAGAGATCGAGACCATCCTGGCCAACATAGTGAAACCCTGTCTCTACTAAAAATACAAAAATCCGCTGGGCTTGGTATCACACACCTGTAGTCCCAGCTACTCGGGAGGCTGAGGCAGGAGAATCGCTTGAACCCAGGGGGCGGAGGTTGCAGTGAGCCGAGATCGCACCACGGCACTCCAGCCTGGGCAACAGAGCCAGACTCCATCTCAAAAGGAAAAAAATAAAATTAGCGGGATGTGGTGGCACGCGCCCGTAATCCGAGCTGCTCAGGAGGCTGAGGCAGAAGAATCGCTTGAACCTGGGAGGCAGAGGTTGTACTGAGCCAGGACTGTGCACTCCAGCCTGGGTGACACAGCGAGACTCCATCTCAGAAAAAAAAAAAAGAGTGGCTGAGACACCACACCCCCCAATCAAGTCTATTCAGCCTCCCCCTCAACAGAAGCCCCGTCCAGCCTCCCTCCTGCCTGCTCCTACTGCTGCCTCCACTCCTGCCCTCCTGACAGAACTTTTGCCTTATAGCAGCCATAGAGAAAATTGCAAATGCCATCGGAACCACATTATGTGTTCTGTTTTGTTGAGGCAGGGTCTCACTCTTTCACACAGGCTGAAGTGCAATGGTGCAATCATGGCTCACTCCAGCCTCTATCTCCTGGGCCCAAGCCATCCTCCCGCCTCAGCCTCCAGAGTAGCTGGGACTACAAGCACACGCCCTCATGCTCGGCTAATTTTTGCATTTTGAGTAGAGACGGGTTTCTTGGGCCGGGTGCAGTGGCCAACGCCTGTAATCCCAGCACTTTGGGAGGCCAAGGCGAGTGGATCACCAGGTCAGGAGTTCGAGACCAGCCTGGCCAAGATGGTGAAACGCTGTCTCTACTAAAAATACAAAAATTAGCTGGGCACAGTGGCAGGCATCTGTAATCCCAGCTACTCGGGAGGCGGGGGCGGGAGGATCGCTTGAACTCCGGAGGTGGAGGCTGCAGTGAGCCGAGATCACGCCACCACACTCTAGCCTGGGTGACAGAGTAAGACTCCATCTCAAAAAAAAAGGGGGTTCTCCATGTTGCCCAGGCTGGTCTTGAACTCTTGTCTTCAAGTGATCCTCTCACCTTGGCTTCCCAAAATGCTGGGATGACCGGCATGAGCCGCCATGCTCGGACAAAGTTTCATGTAGAGTCATTTGTGTGTCATGCTCTGCCATCTTCCTTCCTACTTGCTTTCCATGTCGCCCAAGCCTGCAGCCATGCCAGCATCCTCACTCTTCCTTGAATAAGCTACGCCTGTGGACTCAGGACCTTTGCACTGGCTGAGCCACCTGCCTGGGTCTCTGTCCGTCAGACATCCCCATGGCCAGCTCATTTCTATAAAGGTCTCAGCTCAGGGAGGCTGGGCCCACCCCAGAGAAAGTGCCCAATCTCTCACACTCCTACTTCATTCCCTTCCCAGCACTTTTTTTTTTCTTTTTTTTGAGGTAAGAGTTTTGCTCTGTTGCCAGGCTGGAGTGCAGTGGCGTGATCTTGGCTCACTGGAACTCCACCTCCCTGGTTCAAACAATTCTCCTGCCTCAGCCTCCCAAGTAGCTGGGATTACAGGTGCCCGCCACCACACCCAGATAACTTTTGTATTTTTAGTACAGACGGGGTTTCACCATGTTGCCCAGGCTGGTCTTGAACTCCTGACCTCAGGTGATCTGCCCGCCTCAGCTCCCAAAGTGCTGGGAGTACAGGCATGAGCCACTGAGCCTGGTCCCCTTCCCAGCACTTTTCACACCAGAAAAAACTGTTTTGTTTGTGTTTAACACCTGTCTTGTCACATAACCAGATGTACATTGCATGAAGGTGGTGGGATCTTTATCTGTCTGTGTTGCTGCTGATGCCTGGCACACAGAAGGCACTCAACAAGTGTTTGTGGAATGAGTGAATGAATGAATGAATGAATGAGTTAGTGTGTGCATGAATGATATACATCTTTCTATCTGGTTAGCTCCATAATCGAGGAGGATGACCTCTATTCTTCATGCCCTGAGTGTGAAGAGATAACCCATGTAGGAAGAGGCTCCCCGTGTTCCCACCTTGGTGACCCCTGCTCCACTCACCCCACGGGGGTCCCGTTGCTGGCCAGCTTGGAGAGTTTCGCCATTGCCTTTGAGTAGGTCTCCTCGATGGTAGCCCTGGGTAGGAGAATGGGATAAAGAAACTGGGTGGGGCGCAATGGCCGATGCCTGTAATCCCAGCACTTTGGGAGGCTGAGGCAGGTGGATCATGAGATCAAGAAACTGAGATCATCCCAGCCAACGTGGTGAAACCCTGTCTCTGCTGAAAAATAGTCCCAGCTACTTGGAGGCTGGGGCAGGAGAATCACTTGAACCTGGGAAGCAGAGGTTGTAGTGAGCCAAGATCGTGCCACTGCACTCCAGCCTGGCAATGGTCCAGACTCCATCTCAAAAAAAAAAAAAAAAAAAAGATGAAGAAACTGGCTGGGTGCAGTGGCTCATGCCTGTAATCCCAGCACTTTGGGAGGCCGAGGTGGGTGGATCACCTGAGGTCAGGAGCTCGAGACGAGCCTGGCCAACATGGTGCAACCTCTACTAAAAATGCAAAAATTAGCCAGGCATGGTAGTATATGCCTGTGATCCCAGCTACTTTGGGAAGCTGAGGCACGAGAATTGCTTGAACCTGGGAGGTTTCATTGAGCTGAGATCACATCACTGCACTCCAGCCTGGGCGACAGAGCAAGACTCCATCTCAAAACAATAAACAAAAAAAAGATGATGAAGCTTTCAGATACCCTTGAGAGAGGCGCTACTCCACTGGGCCTCAGTTTCCCCATCTCAAACACCTGAGCAGTGGCTCTCCATAATGGGGGGATGACACAACCTTCTGGGGAATGTTTTGGAAATTCATAGGAGAGGAGTTTTTTTCTTAGCTATATATTTTATTAACAACAGTAGTGAGCTGGGCATGGTGACTCATGCCTGTAACTCCAGCACTTTGGGAGGCCAAGGCGGGAGGATCACTGGAGACCAGGGGTTTGAGACCATCCTGGGCAATATAATGAGACTGCTTCTCTACAAATTTTTTTTTTTAAACCTTTGATGGGTGTGGTGCTGCATGCCTGTAGTCCCAGCTACTCAGGAGGCTGAGGTGGGAGGATCACTTGGACCTGGGAGGTCAAGGCTGCAGTGAGATACGATCAGATCACCCCGGACAACAAAGCATGATCTTGTCTCCAAAGAAATTCCCACCATGAGTAGGTATATCATTTTCTTTAGAGGAGGAGAACTTTCTAAACCGGGTGATTGTTGTTTAAAAGGAGGTATGAGGCTGACAGGGTGGAGAATCAGTCGTTTCCAGGATTTTCGAGCCCCTCTGGTTCCTGGAATCCTCAGGGATCTAGTACCTGACCATTGGGCGTAGCCATGGTGGGCGTGACTACAGGGTGGGGGGCGTGGCCTCTGGTGGGTGGGGCTTGGGGACCTTACCTCTCCCGGATGAACTCTGCCAGCTCCTTGGTGGAGATGGGCCCCTGCTTCACGTTGTGGTACAGGACCTCAAAGCCATGATTTTTCTCGCCCTGTAGGGGATAGGAGTAAGATTGAGAAAGGTCGGAGAGGACATCACAGTTGCTTAGCAACGGGGGCGTGGCCAAGGAGAAGACGTCCATCCCCTTGGCTGCAGGGACTCGGTCAGGCCTGAGCCAATCAGCTTGCTGCATATCCCCTGGGCCATAGGGATTGTCTATGAGCCTTAAATTGGTCGAATCAGCGAGAAGGCTGGGATTTTCTTTTTGTCTGGTCGTCGGTGGGGAGGAATCTCATTTGTTCTGCGTCTTTGTCTCCTTCTGGCTTTGTGTCTCCGTCTTCCTCTCTGTTTTTCTGAGCCTCTCTGCCTTTGTTTCTGTCTCAGTCTCCTCCCCTTTTCTCTTTGCGTCTTTCCTAAATGAGGAATTATGTGGCCACAGGGGATATTGAACGTCAAATGGAAACCATGAACCTTAGAAAGAAGCTAAACCAGAGGGCTTTTGCATTAAAAAAAAAAAAAGTGTGTTAAGTTGGGTGCGGTGGCTAATGCCTTTAATCCCAGCACTTTGGGAGGCCGAAGTGGGTGGATCTCGAGGTCAGGAGTTCGAAACCAGCTTGGCCAAGAAGACGAAACCGTGTCTGTATTAAAAATACAAAACCCCGTCTCTATTAAAAATACAAAAATTAGCTGGGAGTGGTGGCTACTTGGGAGACTGAGGAAGGAGGATTGCTTGAGCCCAGGAGGCAGAGGTTGCAGTGAGCTCAGAACGTGCCACTGCGCTTCAACCTGGGCATCAGAGCAAGCCTCTGTTTCGAAATAAATAAATAAAATAAAAATAAGTTGGAGTGGCCCACGCCTGTAATCCCAGAACTTTGGGAGGCCGAGGCAGGCAGATCACAAGGTCAGGAGTTCGAGACCAGCCTGGCCAACATGGTGAAACCCCGTCTCTCCATCAGCCAGGCATGGTGGTGCATGCCTGTAATCCTAGCTACTCAGGAGGCTGAGGCAGGAGAATTGGTTGAACCCGGGAGGCAGAGGTTGCAGGAAGCTGAGATGGCACCATTGCACTCCAGCCTGGGTGACAGAGCAAGACTGTCTCAGGGAAAAAAGAAAAAAATTGGAAAGAAAGAAGTCAAATAGTCTCTCTTTGTGACATGATCTTATGTATAGAAAGGACTAAACATTCCCCCAGAAAACTCCTAGAACTGGCTGGGCACAGCGGTTCACGCCTGTAATCCCAGCACTTTGGGAGGCCGAGGTGGGCAGATCACCTGAGGTCGGGAGTTCGAGACCAGGCTGACCAACATGGAGAAACCCCATCTCTGCTAAAAATACAAAATTAGCTGGGTGTGGTAGCATATGCCTGTAATCCCAGCTACTCAGGAGGCTGAGGCAGGAGAATCGCTTGAACCTGGGAGGCAGAGGTTGCAGTGAGCCGAGGTCATGCCACTGCACTC